ATTTAGGATCAGAGGCCAGAGGTCCAACCATTTACTATCTGTGAGCTCCCCCTTTTTTTCTCTAATCCTTTTCTTTCAGGGGAAGAAAACAGATAAATGAAAGCCAAATACACATGGATAATCCCCGGCGTCTTTCCAAAAAGGAAATTATTATATTTGAAGTTATGAAAGTGCTTCCTGAAGTGAAGGAAATGCTCTAGATTTTTAGGCCTGTGACTTGATCTAAGAAAAACATAAGCAGACGCATACTGGCAGAAAGACAAATATATAACCTTCCACAACCTTCCCTTTCTCTCACTAGCTCAGCCCCTCCATGTGCGTTGTGATTTACGTATATCTCGAAGCAGAAAGAATTTCTTAAAAAAAAAAAAAAAAAAAGTGGTGGAAAACTCTAAAAGGTCCTTCTGGCCAGAGACGAGAAGGGAGGAAATTGCATTGATTTAAGCTCAGCTTCTTTTGGCATCTGTCCGCCTTCTTCATTTTTTTCTTTCCTGAAGTGAGGGCGTTTGTTCCACAGCCGCCGGTTTAGATACAGTCATCTAAGATGTTTTTCTTTGTCTGTCATTATATCCACAGTAAGCTGACGAGTGGAAGTGAGTGGCAGCCTCTTGATGCGTTATGACTGAAACGATAAACTTCTCCACAATTAGCTTTTCTTGTGAAGAAGCCAGAATAGACTTACAATAGCTGCATTCATTCATAAAATGACATACAACATACAATACAATGTGCAATGTGTACAATGAAGATGAACACCGTTTTTCTGTGTGGCTGAATACTGCACTGAAAACTTGCGAAATCATATGTCATTTCTTATTGAGGAATATTAACAAAGAGTAGTGGGTGTAGTGATATAATATGCATTATATATATTTCTTCTCGTCTAGTCAATGTAATCTGCGATTAAAACCCCTTTTGACCATTTTACATAATTTTCTACATATTTATCTCCAATGTACGTTTGCAAATAATTTGATATGAATCACAACACATGTATTGTGACTCAAATCATACAAATAACACTAACAATTAATGATAACTAATACTGTTCATTTTGTCAGCTATTTTTAGATTTAGGCTTATTGAGATCAAAAGTCTATGTGAGTTTAAGTCATAATTAGTCAACTTCTTAATGTTGCTCAGTTTTTAGTTAACTAAACTGTTTTTTTAAGTCTTGACTTACTCACTGAAAGAACATTTTTATTTAGTTTCAATCGACAAAAGCACATGACATTTTAATCTTCATTAAGTCATCAAACCATTAGTTGACAAAGACTTTGTTGTCCCAGAGGAACTTGAACTTAACATTAAATGGCAGGCTGTGTCATCAAACTGTTGTTGCCACACTTTAATTGACATACATTTTAAGAGAATTTTTGAAATGTCCTAACATAGTACTAGCTATGAGTTACTAGACAAGTAGGTACCACCTAGTAGACTTTAAGTCCTAAGTTAAAAATCCACATAAGATGCTGTGCATTGTAATAACCAGCAGATATTTATTTTGCTACAATCATCTTTGTGTCTCGTTTCAGGCAGCTTCACTTCCTTGTCTTGTGTGATTACCTAACCCGCCCTGAAAGTTTTCACCTGACCTTCATTACCGCCCTCATTTCATTTAGACTGCGCGCTCACCTTTGTCTGTGCCTGTTTGTCGTAGTACTGTCTAGCATTACAGGCCTTCCTATATGTTCCTTTTGGTATAGGCATTTCTTTTGTGTTCTTTGACTCTGCCTCAGCTTAGTGGTTTTGGAAACCTTTGCCTTATTCTGGACTGCTTTCCTGTGTGCTGAACTTTTGCTGCAAAGTAAATATTTCCATTTTACCTGCTCTCTAGTCTTGCATTTGAGTTCATCCATTTTCTGTTTGTCCCACTGTCACAAATGTGTGTTGCAGTGATATTGTGTTGTGTGGTGGTACCGGGGAGGCACACAGGAAGGGAAAGGTACCTAATACCTAAACATTAAATACACAAAACAACACCGTAACCTCACTGGAAGCAGATTTGTTGCTCCTTCTCTTCCGAAACCTAAATTGACATCTCTGATGTTTCCCCCTGTTTGTCTCCATGTTTTCACAGCTCTGGAATGCGCTGGACAACACAACCGTGATTCCCTTCTGTAGCGTAAGCTTCAGTTTGGGACGATTGATGGCCGCTTCCCTGCTGAGTTCACATAGCATCAGACTTGTTTCCCCACAGTCTCTGAGGTAATCGTCTATTTCCCCGGTGGTGTTCAATAGACGCCCCGCAGGGCTTGTTTCACCACAGCTAGCACACACCCTTATTAATCATAGCCGCACATTGAGGCATTATCTCTTTTTGTGTCTGCACCACATGAAGGTTACATAATGGCAACGGCCGTAAATGCCACTGAACGGGAAGCTTTAAGATAGCAGTGCATTGATTTATCAGTTGGTAAACAGACACAACACCAAAGAGTTCCACTTGAGCAAAATTCTGTCTGACGGTTGTAATGTAATTATTGATGTAATGTAATCATCTATCAAAGGAAATATGAATATGCAAAATTCAAATTCCTAAATTCCTATAGATGTGTGTCCCAGCTCAATGGGAATATTTAGGTTTTCGGCATATTTCAGTTGTTATCACGGCTTTTCATTTTGCCCACTTTAACATTGTCTGACCTGGGTGAAACCTGAGCTCGCTGTTGTTAAAACAAGACATATTTTCGCATATTGGAACAGTTAGGGTTAGGGGCTTGATCCCCGTGACCTTTTGACCTCACTCGCATCTCCACGCAGCTTCGAAGAGATGCCTCATCAGGGCAGCCAAAGGAGAGGCCGAGGGTGAAGTGAGGTTGGCCATCCAGAGTTTTGGATGTGTCACTTGTCCAACAGACATGCTGGACTTATAGATTAGCAGACAGACATAATGCAACCGCTGACAGCTGTGCATGATGTAGCCCCGGGTGTACTGTGCTCAGGATTTGTTGGTTGGCTCTGTTCGACACCTTATGCCATTCTTTGATGGCCCAAACACATTCCCTCTGGTTTGCAGTGGTATGATAAAAACGTCTGTATCGCAAAAGCAGTACCCTGGCTTGTCAGAAGTTGGGTGCAAAAGAAAGACCGTTCTTCCCCTCTCACCTCTGCTCATGCCCCCTTTTTCTACCTTTTGCATAAGCAAACATAAAAACTCTTTAAGTGACAAGTTTCTTTGCTGCAGCCTAAATATGTCATTAAAGCACAGAAAGCGAGGGGGAAGGAAAGGCACAGAGCTACACGGTTTTTCAGTTCGGGAGATCATACAGGGGCTGAGAGACTGTTTCAGGTCTTTCCAAGCTGTCGTTTTGAGCCATAAATGAAAGCAAAACAACAGTGTGGGAGCCAGCCGAGTCAGTGGAGGCTCAAGGACTTCGTACTTTGAGTCTCAGTTTCATATCAAGCCAACACTTCCCAACCTAACTCCTCTAGCTATGCCTTCCAGCCATCCATTTTCTCTCTAGATCCAACCTACTTCCCTGCATGTCACACTGCTGAGCTGTGCTCAGACTCTTTTCCAGTCATTTTGGTTCTGTCCTTTACTCTGTCATTTCTGCTCTATTTTTTTTGATTGACAAATTTCACATCACTCACTGAGGGAGGAAAAGAAAGAAAGAAACAACTGCCCTCATTACCTCTATTTGCCTCCGTCTCTCAGTCCATTTTCTTTACATTTCCTGCTCCTTTCCTCTCCCTCTCCTTTTCTGTCTGCCTCCTCTGCTCCACTTATGCATCCCAGCAGTCTAGATTTCCTTTCCTCAGGTTATAATAGTTAGACTGTGAAATCACCCGGGCCCCACACCCCTCCCTTCATCCCTGTGTCCTTCTTTCCCCTTCCACTCCCTAACATCTTTCTCTCCCTCCTCTGATCCCCTCCCTTCTCTCACTACTTATAGCCAATCTTTAATATTTATGGCCTCAAAGCTTGAGAAGTGGGTGGGGGCACGCTACTTTACCTCGGCTATGATTGCTTGCGTGTTGTCAGCAACCAAACGAGGGAAGACGAGGGTTGCACTAGAAGGTTGGGGCTGTGAAGCTGCAGCCCTGCGGAGCAGAACAGAGGCTACCCAAATCTCCTCCAAGCCCCCATACTGAAGTGATTAGGCCACAGGAAGCTGAACCTGACATTGCTGACACTAGGCCCCCCTACCACATCCTGCCCCAACATCCACCCACACCACATGACACCACCTCTCTACGCTGACACCCGACTCACCGTGGCAACCACAAGGCTGATTTACATGTTCTGACATTGTTCCAAAGGATGGAAGGGAAGACGATTCAGGACACTCAAGAGAGTGAAGCAAAAGTTAAGAAGAAACCTGAGATCGGTGGAAAAAATAAAAATAAATAATGCTTGTGGCGACAGCCTCTTTTATTGTTTCCCTGTCGCATGGTGTGTTGGCAGATATAAACAGGAAAGAGCAATGCAGCCTGCCAATTTCAAGCCAATTAAGTGTAAGTGGGATAACTACTGCAGGTGCTTTATTTTGGCTGCTGGGATCACATGGCTCAAGAGATCAGTGACAGTATGTTGTTATTCATATCAAACCTTCAACAATGATTTATATGTGACTACTGCTCTCCATTACCGCACCATTTCTTTCTTATATATCTAAATAAAATCAAAGAGCAATTGGCATTTTAATAAAAGTTGCTGCTTGCCTCCTCACTAAGTAAAGTGGAAACATGCACAAATTGTACTTTTTTCTACCCGATCCAGGACATTTTAGCTCATTTGGAAATACAAGATGCCATAAAATGAATGGCAAGTTTGGTTTGAGTAGACAATATAGTGATTAATATAACCTTTGTGAAAGAGCACTACTGCCCTCTTGTGATTGGGGTGGAAAGGGCAGAGTTGAGAACATGCAAATGGTCCTTGATTTAACCTTGACAAGATAAATTTTACCCCATTTATGGAATCACGAATGGAATGAAGATGTGGAACTCACTCACTCACTCACTCACAAGAATAAATCATATCCAAACCAATGTTTTTTTAACTTCTTTAATCTACAATTTGCTTTATTAGCGTCTTAAATCAACAGCAGTTCACTAGAAAGTCTCTGATGGCACATTGGGCTTTTTCTATTTACACAATACATATTCAGAAAATCAAACAGGTAAAATGTAAAAAGTATCTCCCCTGATCATGTAAGGAAAATAACAAACATATTTGATTACATTCAGGTTAAATTAGGCACATTTAGGCATAGAAATATATCTGGTTCTTTTATGAACATTCAGGAAATCCAAACCTGTATTGGAACAAAAACTCCGGATAAGTCTTACTTCTCATTTTAGTTGTTATTTGTTCTCTCTCTGTCTCCCTCGTACTCTCTTGCACCAATCAAAATGTGTGTTTTTTTTTTTTTTAAAGTAGTGATTGCTCTCTGTTTGACTCCCGTCTCCGGTGAAAGTGTTTCATTTCACTAATGCAGAAGTGAAACCGTCTCGCTGAATACTCTGGGGGCCATGAAAATAATCAAAACACTGCAAGAACCAGCAAGGAATACAAATTCCAGTTAAGAACAAAGGAAATGGAAATCAATGGCGGGATATGCAGATTTTTTTGACAGCTCGACACGCAAATAATCTTTTGGGAGTTTGCCCTCTGTTGCCTTTGCCAGGTTAAAATAACATCTGAGCAGGGAAATATAAAATGCAGTATGCTGTAGAAAGGGCACAGCATTACACCTACTTAGTTTTGTGTGAAGGTATTCCAAAACAATCAATAAAGAATGTACTGCATCGCAAGCAAGGCTGTATCGCCTAAGGCATGGTCATATCTACGAGTGCGCGGCTTCCAACCTCAGGAATTCATTATTTAAAACTGTATTATTGAAAAGCTGCACTTCATGTCTTATGAGCAGTTGTATTTGTCAGTTTGTCGACACTTGAGGAGCTTGAGGAAAGCCTCCATCTTATGGGTGTCTTTCTTGAAGCAGCTGAGTAAGGTATAGTCCCTCATTACAGATTCCAGCATCTCCGGCTGCACGTCATACTGGAAGAGGCCTTGCTCGCTGTGGTTTATGGTCAGGATCCCCTCATCCAACATCTGCACGGCAACATTTGGAAACATGGAGTATAACAAATACAAAACCAGGATAAAAGGTGTGTTTTGTTTAGGTTTTAAAGTGAAAGAGGGGAGTCAATTTCTAGTATCCAAAACTTTTACATGCAGTAAATGAAACATATTAAACTAGTGTGGGTTTAGTTATATAACAGTAATCAAGAAGAAAGATTCAATGCACCTTCTTGATGAGGACCACCACCCCTTGCTCCAGACTGATCAGTTTCTCAGACACCCACTTGGTCTTGTTGAGGAGCATGTCAGGAGCGGCATCGTAGCGCTCCAGTGAGGTCTGCAGATAGACCAAAGGCTCGATCCACGACTGGACCAGCATCAGCACAGAGTGGAGCAGCCATTTGTCCTGCAGGGAACACAGGTGAAGTATTGAAAGAACTGAATGAATTAGCTAATTCAATTTCAAACAGCTACCAAAACATAACGGCCTCAGACACAAAGACAAGAATACATTACAAAACATGACAGAGCTACAGTTCATGTCTTTGTGGGAACATGTATGCCTTGAATGAATAGCAGCCTTGTGCCCTTCACAATTATTGTAAGATAGTAAGGAACAGAAGTGATAAAAAAAGACAGATGACCTCAATAACAGCATGGCTTTTGATCAAGGGCTCGACAGCTAGAAACCATTCAGCAACAGCAGTGGGTTGAAATGTCATGGGTAAAGCAGTTGAGCCTGCTTAAATTCCCCTAAGCATAGCCGACTCCAAAGCAAGCGCAAATGACCACCATACAAATGGCCATTAAACCGCAGAGCAGGCAATATTTCAGCAGAAAGGGCAGAGGATGAATTATTAACAGTATATGCAGTACATGCAGTTTCATAGATCACATTTACTATTATGGCGATGACATAACTTTCAACCACTACTTTCAATATAGCTACAATTTAGTCCTTACAGATATTGTTTTTGCCATATATACTTGGCCTTTGTTAACCGAAGGAGGATTATTGTGAAACTCCCCATTAACCAGATTACAGTTCGCATCAACCTTTCACTAAGTGGTTCCATCGAGTTTCCACACTACTGATGAAACTGACATTTGGCCTAAAAGGTCGTGCCTCGTCGGACAGTATTCGAAAACCTCAGTAGGCAAAGACGAAAGAAAAATGAAATGTTATACAGGCAAGTACATTTAAAATATTTGAAGACCTTTCATTGTAATTAGTGCAAATAACTCATAATTCAGTAGCTGACAGGGGAATAGCTTTAGAAGGAGGGGAGGTTCACTTTCACACTAAGCATTGTTAATAAAAAAAGAAAAGCTTGGGCTCTGCTGCTTCAAAGTGATTTGTGAGCAGACCGTGTATACTAACAGACAATGCATCAGCACCACCCAAACACCTGCAAACACGAATGCACAAGCACAAGAATTATCAACTCCACTCAGATGCAAACAGACAGACACACAAACACAAAACCATAGACACAAGCAACCACTTATACTTGTATTTCCTTTCCTCTGACAAGGAAACTGCCTCACATACACGCACTGGCACAAAAAAGAGGGGCTGCATGCACGCACACACACACACACACACACACACACACACACACACACATACTGCCATTGTTAACAGATTATGATCAAAGCCCTTACAAATTTAAATTTTAAAAAATTCTTTCGCAATCAGCGGCCATGTACTCACAGATATCTGTTGGACTTCATTTTTGGAGCTGGGGATGGGTAAGGTTCGGGTGATGCAGGAATAGCCAGCTTGGTTCCTCTGGAACTGCAATGGCAGCGGGATGAACATCTCCTCCTGCAAACCATACAAGCATGGTGGAAAAAAACAAAAACATATGAAAATACACACACCCATAAAGTGCATGCATGTACACCCCCCATACATATTTCTGTTACAATGCTTTGACTGACCCATTCATTTTCAACTCTCATTAAGGTTAAGCATCCAGAATTTAGAAGCGTTTTCTCTCCTTATTTAAAACTAAAGGTCATAAGCATATTGCAATCTGTTAATTTTTGGAATCCTGTCGTTACAAGGCAACATGTTATAATACAGGCAAACAACACTTGATTTTTGATTGTTTTGAAAACCTTCAGGTCTCGCAGGTAGAGAACTGAACACACAAAAAGGAAAACAATGACAAAAGCTTCAACAATCTCGGCCACTGGAGATACAGCGGAGATTCATTTTGTTCGGCAGCATGTTCTCATCTGTCGACCGCATGCAGCGTCTTCTCAGTAGCAAGTCCTACATCATCCCATTTCAAAGACCATTTTGGATCTCGAGCCGCAGAGTGAAGGGGATTCAACAGGCTGCAAAACCTGTGCTCTCGCTGCTGCAGTATATCATTATCACATTCGTGTGACTCCACTGTAGGCCTGCTTCTTCAATAAAACATCTTTGGCTCAGAGGAGAGATGGAAGATTACTTTGAAGCTTGGCAGCGAGGCGATGATCATGTCAGAATCAAAAGCAAATAACACAGAGTATCTAACAGAAAGTGTCAGTGCTTCTGGTCCAGCGTATTGTGAAAAAGGGCCAACCAAAAGTCATTTTGCTCTCATTGTAGAACTCATGCTAGATTCGGTGATAAAAAATAACATAGCTTGGGAAATGTACGGCAACGTCTTTTTAATTACTTTTGTAGAGTTGTCATGTGAGAAAACAACATAATTCTAGTCCTCTTTGAATGGAAGAAGTTTATCGGAATTTACGACAGTCTATATTCTTTTGTACTACATAAAAGGAAATATCATGCAGCTTCTCACATGCAAAATTCTGCATTGTTGTCACTGTAGCCTTTGACTTAGGTAGAATTATTACAGCACTGCTTTTCAAGATGCAGATTCCACATTCCAAAAGTATTACAAAAAAATCATCATGCCCAACTCGAATGAAGAAGAATATTATAGATTTTCTTAGATTGCATTTCAGTTGAATCCACTCGTTTTAGGCACAATGAAAGCATTTTCTATTGTCAAGTGATGCTCAGTGTGAAAAGTGATTCAGTTTCTCCTGAGGCTATACAAACACTAAATATATGCCTTCATGGTAACCCCCCCCCCCACCACCACCACCACATTACGCAAGTGCAAAGATTCACTTTAGGGAAGTGGACGGTGTTACTCACATACAAAGAGCATGATTCTTCTGAGGCACGGTAGATGAGCTCAGCATGCTGGATGACTCGGTCTAGAAGTTTCTCTTGGGAGATGGAAGGGCAGCGGGAGAGGCTACCCGGCTCCTCCCTGCAGTCTAGTGGGATACTTACGGTGAGCAGGTTGGGCCAGAGCAATACAGCCCACACACCCCATTGCATGACTGAAGACAAACACATACACACAGGTGTAACAAGCAAACACTCACGCAAACATGCACAAAACACAAAACCCTGCTCATACATGTCTCAATTGTTAGCTGTAGTTCTACCGGATTTACCTTTTTCTTATCAGTTTCATGAATCAAAATCACTGCTGAACTGAATAAACTGCTGTAATTTATATCTGTCAATACAAGTGCAAAACATGCTGTCTTTCTGTCTTCAAGTGCGATGGATTACCTGACACCAAGTGCATTCTGTGAGTCTTCAAGTCCTTCCTAGCTTTTCTATTGTGCTGACTTTCTTTATAAAGCCTGAGCAGGCCATGAATAAAGGAAAAGGTGATTTTGGTCGTGCGTAGGTTCTTGTAAAATGATACTGGTCTTCCCAAAGCAATGCATTTCTCATCTTATGCATAATACTAAGATGGTAACTATAGTCAGGCATGCTAGGCCTAAATATTATTGTTCCCCATTTCAAGTTACGAAATGTTGGAGGTTTATCCAAATATATTTGGCAATACGAAATCTGAATCAGCCGATTTAAAAAAGAAATTCAAATATATGTTTTGTACATTTATTTTCCACCTGCATCCTGGTACCATTGGCCAATGATCCACAAATGAGACTGATTAGATTTATCAAACAAAAACTCAAAATTAGGAATGAAAAATGTCAATTTAAGCATGCAGGGCAGAGAAGGCTGCAGAAAAGACAGTGTAGAACTGTAATAGACGCAACAAAAAGGGGCTGAATGAATGAGATTGGGGAATCACTGAGATCTAACAAAACCCCTCAAATATTCTTTTTATTTTGACATTCATATTCCTTTCTGCTCAGAAAACCACGGGTGTGTGTGAGTAGCTCAACCCAGAAGTTATGTTTGTCCAATTGTAATGACTGTTTAGCTGTCATAGAAGGGAACACATGTTTAGTCGTAATCAATGTCTGCTTGAAACAGGCTCCATTAAATGCTCCTTCCCCCCACTGCACTACTTATTTAATCTGTCTTTGTGTAAGTGTAATCAAATTGGAAGATTTCCGGGGATGAATTGTCTGGTAATAATCCATTCATTTATATAATATATAAGATAAATAATACTTTTTTTTTGCATGGACCAATACAATGAAGAAAGGGGCAACATTCAAGAGGCTCAGGTGTTTATTTCCTCCGTGAAGCATGTTTAAGGATAAGCTAGCAGACAGTAGATCAGAGCGTGGCAGCTGATGCGTGTCTTGTTACTGAAGAGATTGTTTCCACCCACCCTCAAGACACCTGAAGCCTCATGTCACATATGGCAACCTTTTCCACATTAAACAATGTTCTCTCCTTATCACCTTTCGTTTAATCCTCCACTCTTCCTTTTCCACCTCATTGTTGGCTAAGCAAATTTTCAAAAAGGTAAGCACACCTCTCCAAAAAAACATCTCGTTTAATCCTTTTTACATGTACAGGGAATGTATTTTGGTAAATTTATAAAACTCAGGTCATAGTTGTGAGAGTATTTTTGCTTAATCTAATCCGATTTGGATATCATCCAAAAAGGTATTTGAAGCCCAACCTTTTACAGGTTTAACCCAATTTTTGTATACATTCACATTTGAGGTAATTAATGTAAGTGCAAGCATGATTTGTGCCTCCACACTTTTTAAAACCTGCTTTGTGCGCACATCAAAAGAGGCCGAGCATGAAAATAAACCAAAACCAAAAACGACTTTGGTCTGAACCCCTCAAACAAACAAGAGACACGCCATGATAAAGATTCAACAAAAGATATTTAATTGAACCAAATTAAACCAATTTAAATTCCAAATAAGGATGATTAAGATTTGAGTTGTGGAGGTCAGTGTAATCAGTAATGTAAGTGTGCTTGAGTGATGGATGCTGTAAACGGCAAACAAACATCGGCAAAAGTGTTGAAAGCGCTAAAAGTGTTTACCTGAGGGGGAACCAGATAGTGGGCACTGTTGGTCGTAAACGGCATTATCAGCTGTAACTGCCGTGTGAGAGCAGAGCAGGGGGGCCGTGAGCTAGCCAGTGGGCACCGAACATACACTAAAAGATTGCATGGCCAGTCTTGCGATGTAAACAAAGCAGAAGCTCAGATAACAACACACAGGGAGAGCGACTTCATCCTCTGCTCAGGTAGACATTACTCTGCTCTATCTTTACATAGACAATAGTTGTTTGCTGCCATATTAACACTGTGCGTGATGAATACAGCTCCTTTAGAGCAACATACTCAACCAAACAAACAGGTGCCTTTAGGGAGAAGGCAGAGAACTGCAGCAGCAGAGACTCCTAGCAGCAGCCATGGCTTCGTGTCTCCTCCTCGCATCTCTCGTGGGCCGGACTGAGACGAAAAGGAGAGGAGGTGAAGACAGGATTTTAGGAGACAAGTTAGCATATTGAAAAGCACCCATAGACTGGGAACACTGGGCTCAGCACTTAATAAGAAAACATCCCTCAGAATTGTGTTAACAGTGTCAAGTAGAGGGATTAGTGGAGCATGTCATTTTACAATGCCGAAAGTACTCTAGAGAACGAGAAACATTGAAGAGGTAAATCTTGGAGGAAGAACCTTAATCTAATATGAGATAATGTTAGTAATAATATTATTAATATTTTACATCAGGTTAGGGAGGTTTTTCTGATATCTGAAAGAAACTCGGCTCGTCAAGAGAATTTAGTGTTCAGTAAGTGGGGCTGCTTTGTGTGTTGTTTGTTTGGAAAAGCAGATTGCTCCACATTCCAACATAGTAGGGGGCGGTAGTGCACTTTAACACTGGCTGCCCCCCCATATAACAGAAGAAGAAGAACACTGTGCCCAGGTGTTCCCCATGGTGCCTGATGGCCCCCTGCCACCAGGTAAAAAGCTACTGACCTCAAGGGACTTTAATTTCTAAAAAAAACAACCTGTACTTCTTGAAAACCACATGAACATGTTGACCAGTTAATTTTCAGCACGCCATTGATCCAAATCATACACACCCAGGCTTCATGCACAGGTGCTGGGTGTGGCAAAATGCTACATTCCCAAATTTTGCCCATGGTGCCAACTCCAGTGGTGACTTCCACTTTTACTTGGGGACCTTTGCCTTCTAATAAGGGATGTGAGCCCTTTCTGCTGTTTATTTTATTGTTTTACATTAACCCCTGATATAACTGCAGAGCGTCATTCGGCATAATATATTTGAACACTTTGAAGAGCGCAGTGGAACTGAGAGACTGAGGGTGAACTGGTTCTACTGGGACAACGAGGCTGAGTGTGGACTGGTTATGCTTTGAGACCGAACGACCAGTTGAACCTGGAGCAGATTGAGGAGGACTCCGCAGTGCTGTCGCTGAGACAGGTGAGTCGTCACAACAACAACACACTCGTTGGAGGCTGTCAACTTGTGTGTGTGTGTGTGTGTGTGCTCGTGCTCGTGCGTGTTGCGCATGTTGCGCAAAAACTGTGCAGCTATCCCTTTGCTGGTTTGTGGCTGCAGCCGCCGCTGAGTTTTAAATTGTTTAAACATCTCTATGTTGTCAGCTTTTATGATGTTTTATGCTGTTGATTCTACTGACACATTATTGTATTATGTTGCACCCGCTGCGGTGTCCTCCTTGTTATTTAATGTTTGTTTGGTTCTCTTGGCTGGTTGTGTAATTAATAATTGTATGCTCAGGCTGCAGAGCGCTGTCTATAATGATCAGGCCTGTTGCTAGTTCAGAGAGGAGTCTTCTGTGGTGTGAGAATGTCAATGCACTATATTTTGTTGCTTGATTTAATAGCTCTATCAAACAACTTCATCATAGATGTTTTTTTCTTTTCTTTAGCCCCCATTTTAAAAGATAACACATTAATGTTTACTCAGAGTACTTTTACTTATCTACTTAATGAATCATTTTACTTGTAACAACAGTGCTTTTACCTGTGTAAAGTATTCAAGTACTCTTTCCATCCCTGGTTCTACGCTCAGGCTGCTCAAGTGCCTTCAATAGAAATGGAATGTATTGTTGGACATAAGGGGTTGAACATGATGTTGTTCCAGTAAAAAAAAGATGTTCATACTCATTAGTATTATCTTATATCATTTTGATACACAGTACTGTAAAGTGACAGTACTAAAGTAACAGTCTTTCCTGAACCTATCTCTGCATGTCTGGTCCTCATCCTTCAGTGTGAGGGCTACAACAGAATAGTCAGAAAAAATATTTGAAAACGTAAGTCAAGGGTAAATAACACAAGTGGTATAACTGTCCATAATTTGCACAAGTGATACTTGGCCCGTGAACTCTCAGATTGCTGTTTTTCTTGGCTCTGCTTTTGTAAATGCAGTGTTTCTTCAAGTTGTTTGCCAGCTTTGACGACATTTGACGGGTCATTTTCATGCTCACTTTTCTTTTCCCTTAAGCTGAAAACAGATTTGTTCTGTCAGAGGCCTTTAGGAGCGCTTATATTTTTTCAACCCTCTCATTTTCATTTGAAGCAGCAGCAACAGCCCGTCATTACTGTTCTCATCTCTACTCGTGTATCTGACAAACTGACTCAGACCTATAGCCCTCCATTCTATCTCATGCCAGATGTTAAAATGCAAACACATCCCACCATTGCACAGCTTTTGTCAACTGATATAATAGTGGCATCGTTTCTGCATAACTTAATACTGTCTAATATCATTTTTGTCACTAAATAGCTCCTCCGGTTCAATCCCGTGCTCAAAGCACATATGACTGTCTCCACAATTTCCTTTTGTAGGATATAATTTCGTTAGAATGCTTTCAGTCTGGTGTCCATGGCTACAGAAGCTGTGCACTGTCTCCATGTTGCCCTGTAGGTTATGTTGACTGAGCCTCACCCTCGCCGACGGCAACTGCTTGAGAAAGTGGTGCTTAACTTTAACTCTTAGTTTTTTTCAATCGGTGGGCTCATACAAGTGTGCTATGTTAGATTCATGAGTGTTCATGAGAATTGTAAATTAGCACAATTAACGCCTGAACAATTCCATATAAGGCTGTGCATCCGGCTCTTTATGTCCTATATTTAAGTCCTGCCTTTAGAGATCCACAAGGGAAAGTTTTTTAACAGCATTTTTAACAGCATCAGCAGCAGAATTAACCTGCTAAAGCCAAGGAATGGGGGGAAAATAACGAGCACTGTCAATGTCTTGTCACCTGAGGGTCGTACTGTCACTGAAATAAAGAAGAAACGGTCTGATTTGAAATACGTCTCGCTGTCGATGACTGCAACGTGAGGGTCTCGAATAATTTAAGTTTTTTTGCAGTTTGCAAAATTTT